CTTTTATGGTCTCTGAGAGCTGCCTCAGGAGCCCCGCATCTCTTTCTTCCCCTTGATGTGGGGGTCTGTAGCAGACCCCTACCACCAACTCCCTTTCTCCTTGCCTCCCATGTAGCCTAACCCACAATCCTTCTACCTCCTCATCCTTGGATTCCGTCTTGATGAGGGTTGACGTATATTGCTCACTGACATAGTGCGCAACCCCTCTCCCTTTCTTCCCCACCCTGTCCTTTCTGTACAATCTATAGCCCTCAATATGTACTGCCCAGTCGTGGGATGAATCCCACCAGGTTTCCGTTAGCCCCACTAAGTCATAGGTGTTTAGTGCAAGCAGGAGCGCTAGTTCATCCTGCTTTTTCCCCATGCTCCTAGCATTAGTATATAGGCACTTGAGCCCTGCGACTGGTGCTTTTGCTGCCCCCCCCCGCTCCGAGTCCCAAGGGGCCCTTTGTTTCTTACCTTCTCATTTCTTACCTGTGTCGTAGTGCTGGCCTCCCCATGGCTTTCAGGTTCCCAATGCTCTCTTTCTTCAGGCTGGGCTGTCCTTGTGGGTGCCACATGGTTTGGTGGTCCACAGTCTCAACCCAGTGTAAAACAATTGGAGAAATCTAAATTGTTTCTCATTTGCCCAATCGGAAAAAGATAAAATCTCATTAGACTTTCATTGACATTACTTGCTAGTTGAGTTTGAATTAACTTTGTTCTTTTATAAAATGTCTAATGCTTTTTCAATTTATTTTATCATCAGTACAGTTCCATAGGGCAATGTCATACCTCTTGTATTTAGAGTGGTACGAAATTGAAAAAATATAATGTATAAAGCTTATCAACTCTAGGACACCATTTTAAAATGTATTCTTTTTGCTGCAGGTGGGGACAGACATTAAAAAAGTCTGAACCTGAATTGATTCAATCGTTGCAAGTTACTCTAACCTGGCTAGGTTGAACTAGTTTGCAATTTTACAGAAGTTCTCTGGACTGAAGAAGTGCAGGCACATGCCTACAGTGGCTCAGGCTAGAAGCTGGGGGGGGGGGGCGTGCTAGAGTGGCCCTCCCTTCCCTTCCATAGCTCTGAGTGGTGGGGAGCGGGTGGCCAGGCCCTGGAAGGAGCCTCTGATTGGGGAGGGGCCCCCCTCCCCCTCACTGCTCCTGACCAGTGAGGGAGCCAGCAGGGACTTGATAGCTTAGTATTTTATCAGCCCATCAAGAAAACAAAAAGCCTCTCTCATGAATTCAAGCTCTTCTTAAACATCTTTTTCCAAGGAAGAAAGGAGGGACGTTACCAGTTACCTGTTGATTAGCTCCAAAAAGCCATAAGCAGACACTATCTGGTCTGCCTTTGTTCTGTCCTACTTACACAGATACCTCTCAGCATTAGCTAGCATACCACATGTTGACTACGGTCCATGCTGTGGGAGAGGTGAGGAGAGAAATCCCTGCTTGAGCAGGGAGTGGGGGTGGGGGAGACAGAATGAGAAAGCCAGGCAGCCAGTCAGCGAGAAGAGGGGTGGGACCAGACTGTTCTGTGGAGCAGACAGCACAGCCCTGGCCAGGGCTACAAAGCATCTGGGATTCTGGGGTCTCTAGTTTAAGTTAAACCAGGAAAGGATCTGGGACAGACATTGCATAAACCAGATACTACATTGAACTAGGTTTCTCTCAAACCAGTTTCAGCCATTTTCAAACTGCTTTATGTGCACTGAACATCCATTCTGTTACAGGTTAAACCAGTTTCTGATAACTTAAACCAGTGTATGTGTAATGTCTGTCCCTCGCCTGCATGTTTAAAATAAATCATTTATTCCTTAAGAAACATGCATGCTTTAACAACAGACTTACAAACCAATGAGTGCCCTTTGTCCAATATAATTAATTCAAAATACAATTTCACCTCAACCACACTTTTGTATCTAAACACTTCCAGGCATTAGATTATTTTGCCTTTAGATTCCAATATGAATTTCATAGCTTGGACTCATCTCCATTTAATATAAAAAATGTACCCTTTGATTCACTTAAAGCAAGCATTTTTGGTTAGAGTTGGCTGGAAAATAGATTTTCCATCTTATAAAAAACAGATTTAATGTAAAGGAATGAAAAAGCAAAGTCTGAATTTTTTCCATCAAATAAAATTCTAACATATTAGTTTCCAATCCAACAATTTGATTCAATTTCAAATCTTTAATTTTTTTATATAGAAAATAAGTTTCAAAATGGAAAGTCATTTTGAAGCAAAATAAATTATTTTTTTTGCTGAATTTATCAAAATGTGTTTCACGTTCAACATTATAAAAAAATGGGGAAAAATTGTAAATCAAGATGCCAACAACATCTGTTTCAAAAAAAAAAAAAAATCTTCAGTGAAATGTTTCTCTAATGGAATGCCAGTTGAGTAATACTTTCTGCTCAGCTTTTCTCTTGGCTAACCTTCATTTTTGGGAGGAATTCCCCATATATAATCTGCAAATCTACTTCATTATCCTCCAAATCATTCCTTGAACACTCATTTTCCTGTTCTGTATTAGTGCTGCACTATGTACACAGGTGTCATGGTCCAAGACTGTTTCCTAGATGCTACTGCAATAAAAATAGTTTTTCCTCTTTTTATTTGCATCCATTAGCAGAACAAGACTGAACAAAGCCTTGCCTTCATTCATGGGATTCCAAGAATTCTCATCAAAATACTAACTAGGGCGAGAACTACTTCATCTCCAAGTGCAGAGGCAGTCAGCCTGGCATGGCCCCATATAACAATACTAGAAAATAAAATGTAAGTGTCTTACTTCACTATAAAGCTAAACTCCATGAAATCTTGTTTCTATTTTCTGCAGTTGAAAAAAGATTATATATCTGAAAATGCAAGATTGATAATGATGATACTACAGTGGGCTCTATATATTGAAGAGTCTTTGAGCATTGCTTCAAAGTTTATAGGCAAACTTTTGATTAGTGAGTAAACTTTATTTAATTGCTTCCTTTCCTATCCTACCTTTAGCGGTAAAAAGCAACAGAATGCATCCTATAAAGTAAAACACAGCTCTAAAATCCTAATATCTGTTCATTACTAATTTGACTCTTAATTTTTTTTGCTATGTAATTAATAGTAATGCTGTAAAATTCTACTCTCTCCTGAGACAATTGCCTGCCTAGGAGCTTTTCTATTACTTCTTTCATTGTTTTACATTTTATGCTGCAGTAGCCATTTAGTATTTTTTTTTTACTTTATAGCATCTGAGGGCATTTGCTTAGAGAAAAGCTATTTAGTTTTATATATATTTATAATAGAGAGATAGAAAGATAGAGAGATATTATGGAAATATATATATTTCCATTGTACATGCCTATATTATTATGTCTCTGTAAAAAAATGCACTAGTGTGTATAGGTTCCGTTTTTTTCTCTGAACAAACTTTAAATTAAAAAAAAACAAAAAAACACCAACTTTTTCTCCAGATATTCTTACTCCAAAACTTTCAAATACTTAATCTGGCAGGAGAAATTTTGCAGTGAAATGCTGCATATCATTAATTTATTTGGATTAAGATACTGTGGGAATCCCATTTCCTGTCCTAAGGCTGTCCTCTGTGTCGGCTTACCCACCTGTCTTGGACAGTCCCCGCCCACCTATCTTGCCTGCCACACCTTGTTAGTAAATAATTAAGTTGTTTATTAGGCAGGAGGCTGCCCTTCATGTGCTCAGCTATGCCAAGCAGTACATATATGCTTCAACTTTCC